GATGTATGCAGATGAATTTCGTTTATTTGTGGATAACTATGAGCCCTTGAAAAAGGCACGAGGTATGTTAAGAATGGCCACCCTCCATCAATAAATTTGTGATTAATCTCGAAATGGCATGTACAATCCTCATCACCTTAAGTTGAGATAGCCTGGCGCAGCACCCGTATTGCATCAAACAACACTGCTCCTGCGCTCCAAGTGTGACTTTTAGGGCTTCTGTGTGCCAACTCGCAGAAACCAATTCAGAGGGGGGCAGAGAATATCACTACTGTCCCAAATAATGTGACCAGTTTGCTGTGTTTTGACCATCAAACCTTTAAAAATAACAATGCAAATCAGTTAATTCATATGCAAGACATCCAGGACATGTTTCGCTCAAATTTGATGGCTTTGTATGGAGATGAAATAATTTGTGCCCCTTTTAGGAACACCCATATGGCTGATGGGAACCAACACAACAATCCACTCTCAAGTTTTCAAACTTTTGCGTGAATTTATCGATTGAGCGACTCATAAAGTTTAAATTCCATGAAAACACAATGAATGACCATAGGACAATATGTCAAATAATCGGTAATGGTTTTAACCCGCGTCATAGGAGCTGCCACAGTGGCCAACAGCGAGCAAATGAAGGTTGTTGGGTGCTTTTTTACCTCGTCATGAACGAAGAAACTTGGAAGAACCTATAGTTTATCAGTCTCAATTTTTACACCTTTGGCAGGACTGGTCTGGTGTTCAGATATTACAATAAGGGATGACTTGCATAGTCAGGAAACAAAAAAATTCCAAGTGCTTCAGGGCACTCTCCAGTTTGTATTGTTAAAAACAGAGTGAAGGCACCGAAGAGACAGGGTCTGTACTATTTTGGGCTTATCAAGTTTCATGATCTTTTCCATGACCTTTTCATGGTTTCCATGACCTTAGGGTCTCCTGTCACTTTCGAATATTTTCCAAACCTTAATTCCTTGTTTAAGGTTATTTTTTTTACATAACAAAGTTCATCAGACACAAACTCTGGTGTCCACTAAAATCCATGCCATTTAATTACTCATCTTTATCTGACATTGTCCTTGCTTTGACATCTGTAGTATATAATCTATCCAACATAAATTTAATTTTTCATGACTTTGCAGGACCAACAATCAAATTCCATGACTTTCCAGGTCTGGAAAATGACAGTTTTAAATGTCATGACTTTCCTTGTTTTCCATGACCTGTAGAAACTTTGAAAAACAAGATTTCCACCTTGGGCTGCACCCCTTGTGATGCCTTAGTAAGACCCAAAGACCCTATATATACAAAATAAAAGTACAGCATGATCTGAAGAGGATATTTTTGCGAACATCGCGCTCCTAGAGAACTGCATGCTTATTGCAAACTTCACTGCTACCTTTACAGACGCAGCAAGCGATGTTGACCGTGCCAAGAAAATGTACTTGGATACCGTAGCTCCAGGAAAGGTGAGACGTCTTGTTTTGTTACACTATATGTAAACAACACCACCTCTGTCAGTCTCACCAGACTTTTCTCTTTCTTTAGATTAAGTCCATAGTTGATGCCAGAAACTTGTATCTGGCCAGGCATAAGGAGGTAAAGGCAGTGGTGCCTGTGAGTTTCCCACTGCGTATTAACCTTGGATAAAATAAATCTAAGCTAGCATTACAGTAAGAAATAAAAGAATGTAGGAAGCAATCGGTCCAATCTAGTTTGAAAAATATTCATTCAGTAGCATTGACGCACATCCTTATGTAATTTATCCCCAAAAATGCACCCTTATAGCCAAGACGTTTTTGCCATAAAAAAGAGGTGCCCAAAGTATCATACGTGGTCCTCACTCTCAAAAACTTTTTGGGGATACGGATTGAGGCGCCATATTGTCTTACACATTGAACATTTCTATAGCAAGGACCTTACTTCTGTAAACGGAAAGGTTGTCCCATCCTACCTCCTCTAGCAGGGGCCCAGTGCTAGAATCATAAATGGCAAAGGTTATGATCATAGCCGTTCGATGTTGTATGGTTTTGACGCTTTGGAGCTAGATCTGAACCAAGAGCCTCCCAGGTAACACTGCAACAGTCAAAGAACGTTTAGATAAAAGAGTTGTACATTGTTTGCCGGAGTTAATGGAGGAACAAATTGTCTCACATACTTAAGCGCTCCTAGATCCTACAAACAATACTTCGCTCTTGTGCTGTTAGTAGCCGCTGGGCATATTTTCGGTATTGTCGTTTGCTATTACATTCTTCTGATTTTGCATGCAAATGGATTTTCAAACCTTATTTCTCTTTATGCATAGTCGAGTCTTCACATAAACGCCCCTAGAACCTGGCAGCCCCTACTGCCCCGTTGCCTTCGGCTTCCTCCACCTCGCAAGGCGCGGGGTATTTCTCAAGAGCCCCAAAGAGGCATGGGGGACAAAAAGCTTTGAAAAAAGAGAAGGTGTGGCAGAGAGGCCGCTGTTTTGTCAAGTGGATACATCAACCCAAAGTCTAAAGGTGAGATCATACATGTACATCTCAGTGCAGTTGTTTGGGAGAAAAGAACATGATATCAATCCCTCCTGCGTTATGACACTAATATCATTTTTTAATCTGTGTGTATAAAATTAAGTAGGGTCAAAGAGAAGCTGGTAGGGGTATTGATAATATCTTTCTGTTTTTGTGTGTAATGATGTGTCTTTTTTAACATTTTCATATTCGGCAAGAACAGGTCGATCGCCACCAGCTGGGCAGACTGTTCAAAACTAGTGTTTTGGATGCGGGTTTGGATGGGAGGGATTTATCCCACAAATCTTATACATCTGTACGTATAGCCGCAACTTTCATCGAATTTAATGGCCCTACCGAGTTCTGGACTTGCGCAATTGTGAAAAAGTTACATGTGGCAGCTGCAATCATTCCAATCCTAAACGCACAACGTTACTCTAGTGATTACAATTAACGATAGCAATCGTTTATGGATTTCTCTCCACCAGTTCCATGCAACTAACCCTGCAGATACTAAAAGGGTATCATAACGGTCAATAACTTACATTAATAAAAATTGTAATGCATAAGTTACTCACATAACTTACTTGGGCACACCGGATTTCCCAGATTGACTGTGTAATCACACTCTTGGTCCTTATTTTTTAGGGCTTTGCCACAAGATTTGTCCTTACGGCCGCCATGGAGAATGGCGGTCGATTCGCCGACAACCAGGTGGACCAGCTTCGACGCCTGGGGGGTGGTCAATCCAGTCGGGTATTGTGCACATATACATCAAAAAAATAATTGAGCAGTACTCAGACAGTGCTGGTCTCATAAGTCCTGGTAGGTATTGATTGAGGTTGCACATGAGAATAAGAGAAAGGTCCAGAAACATTGATGAGTATGAATTCCATGTCGATAGCACAGTTTTATAGAAGGACTGGTCTGGTGTTCAGATATTACAATAAGGGATGACTTGCATAGTCAGGAAACAAAAAAATTCCAAGTGCTTCAGGGCACTCTCCAGTTTGTATTGTTAAAAACAGAGTGAAGGCACCGAAGAGACAGGGTCTGTACTATTTTGGGCTTATCAAGTTTCATGATCTTTTCCATGACCTTTTCATGGTTTCCATGACCTTAGGGTCTCCTGTCACTTTCGAATATTTTCCAAACCTTAATTCCTTGTTTAAGGTTATTTTTTTTACATAACAAAGTTCATCAGACACAAACTCTGGTGTCCACTAAAATCCATGCCATTTAATTACTCATCTTTATCTGACATTGTCCTTGCTTTGACATCTGTAGTATATAATCTATCCAACATAAATTTAATTTTTCATGACTTTGCAGGACCAACAATCAAATTCCATGACTTTCCAGGTCTGGAAAATGACAGTTTTAAATGTCATGACTTTCCTTGTTTTCCATGACCTGTAGAAACTTTGAAAAACAAGATTTCCACCTTGGGCTGCACCCCTTGTGATGCCTTAGTAAGACCCAAAGACCCTATATATACAAAATAAAAGTACAGCATGATCTGAAGAGGATATTTTTGCGAACATCGCGCTCCTAGAGAACTGCATGCTTATTGCAAACTTCACTGCTACCTTTACAGACGCAGCAAGCGATGTTGACCGTGCCAAGAAAATGTACTTGGATACCGTAGCTCCAGGAAAGGTGAGACGTCTTGTTTTGTTACACTATATGTAAACAACACCACCTCTGTCAGTCTCACCAGACTTTTCTCTTTCTTTAGATTAAGTCCATAGTTGATGCCAGAAACTTGTATCTGGCCAGGCATAAGGAGGTAAAGGCAGTGGTGCCTGTGAGTTTCCCACTGCGTATTAACCTTGGATAAAATAAATCTAAGCTAGCATTACAGTAAGAAATAAAAGAATGTAGGAAGCAATCGGTCCAATCTAGTTTGAAAAATATTCATTCAGTAGCATTGACGCACATCCTTATGTAATTTATCCCCAAAAATGCACCCTTATAGCCAAGACGTTTTTGCCATAAAAAAGAGGTGCCCAAAGTATCATACGTGGTCCTCACTCTCAAAAACTTTTTGGGGATACGGATTGAGGCGCCATATTGTCTTACACATTGAACATTTCTATAGCAAGGACCTTACTTCTGTAAACGGAAAGGTTGTCCCATCCTACCTCCTCTAGCAGGGGCCCAGTGCTAGAATCATAAATGGCAAAGGTTATGATCATAGCCGTTCGATGTTGTATGGTTTTGACGCTTTGGAGCTAGATCTGAACCAAGAGCCTCCCAGGTAACACTGCAACAGTCAAAGAACGTTTAGATAAAAGAGTTGTACATTGTTTGCCGGAGTTAATGGAGGAACAAATTGTCTCACATACTTAAGCGCTCCTAGATCCTACAAACAATACTTCGCTCTTGTGCTGTTAGTAGCCGCTGGGCATATTTTCGGTATTGTCGTTTGCTATTACATTCTTCTGATTTTGCATGCAAATGGATTTTCAAACCTTATTTCTCTTTATGCATAGTCGAGTCTTCACATAAACGCCCCTAGAACCTGGCAGCCCCTACTGCCCCGTTGCCTTCGGCTTCCTCCACCTCGCAAGGCGCGGGGTATTTCTCAAGAGCCCCAAAGAGGCATGGGGGACAAAAAGCTTTGAAAAAAGAGAAGGTGTGGCAGAGTGGCCGCTGTTTTGTCAAGTGGATACATCAACCCAAAGTCTAAAGGTGAGATCATACATGTACATCTCAGTGCAGTTGTTTGGGAGAAAAGAACATGATATCAATCCCTCCTGCGTTATGACACTAATATCATTTTTTAATCTGTGTGTATAAAATTAAGTAGGGTCAAAGAGAAGCTGGTAGGGGTATTGATAATATCTTTCTGTTTTTGTGTGTAATGATGTGTCTTTTTTAACATTTTCATATTCGGCAAGAACAGGTCGATCGCCACCAGCTGGGCAGACTGTTCAAAACTAGTGTTTTGGATGCGGGTTTGGATGGGAGGGATTTATCCCACAAATCTTATACATCTGTACGTATAGCCGCAACTTTCATCGAATTTAATGGCCCTACCGAGTTCTGGACTTGCGCAATTGTGAAAAAGTTACATGTGGCAGCTGCAATCATTCCAATCCTAAACGCACAACGTTACTCTAGTGATTACAATTAACGATAGCAATCGTTTATGGATTTCTCTCCACCAGTTCCATGCAACTAACCCTGCAGATACTAAAAGGGTATCATAACGGTCAATAACTTACATTAATAAAAATTGTAATGCATAAGTTACTCACATAACTTACTTGGGCACACCGGATTTCCCAGATTGACTGTGTAATCACACTCTTGGTCCTTATTTTTTAGGGCTTTGCCACAAGATTTGTCCTTACGGCCGCCATGGAGAATGGCGGTCGATTCGCCGACAACCAGGTGGACCAGCTTCGACGCCTGGGGGGTGGTCAATCCAGTCGGGTATTGTGCACATATACATCAAAAAAATAATTGAGCAGTACTCAGACAGTGCTGGTCTCATAAGTCCTGGTAGGTATTGATTGAGGTTGCACATGAGAATAAGAGAAAGGTCCAGAAACATTGATGAGTATGAATTCCATGTCGATAGCACAGTTTTATAGGGTCAACACACTAGGCATCTGATTAAACCAGCTTTACTCGACAAGGGTATGAATTATTTGTTACAGTTCCTTTACTAGCATCATGATGTCCCCAGATGTTGAAACAGATGTCCTGTTAATTAGAGCAAGACCATTTCAAAATGTATTTTGCAATAACGTTGGAAAT